ATTTTATTTTATGGGCAACTCGCACACCGAGAATCATGTGCTATGGTAGCCAATTTAGATTCCTCTAATAATAGGACATTCTAAATCTGTAATAATAAATGGGCAAACTGAATTTCAACAAGTTATTCCCTGCGGTAGGCGGCATTTTTTCCTCCTGTAAAACCTGTAAACATCAACCTGTTTGCCAACATTCTCATCAACAGGTTTCACCAAGAAATGACAGTGACTTTTCATTTGTAAAATACCAATATATTCCCATTTAGAGACATCCATCACGAGAAGTCCAATCATAATCGATACGGCTGAACTAAAAAGAAACGTCCAGGATTAAAATGAAATAATAAAAATAATTGGCATAGTGTTGATGCTGGGTATTGGTCTGCGAGTCCGTGAATTCGTGCTGACAATTTATTGGGTTCGTCTTCACTCGCGTGTTTGTTCAACTACTCAATGCCGAAACGCGTTTGAGTAGTTCAACAAGCCCGCGAATGATGACGGACCCAAAAGTGACCCAATGCCGGTTCTTAAAGCGTAGCGAATAGCTCGTTTTTTATATTCACCGTCAATTGCAAAACAATTTTGAAATCGGTAAAATAAGGTTAGCATTTTTTAACATAACAAACACGTTATGTTCAATTAATCATTTTTATACTATTTGTAACTGCTATAAAAATACATTTCCCTATCTCAAACTTGTTATTGAGATACAGCGAATCTATAAACATTGCACATAAATATGATACGATAAATATCGGTTTAACATTTTACATAGTCAAAAGAAAAAACGGCATATACCATATTTCCATGTCAATTTTAACGAAATTCTCTAATCTTACGAAAATAATTACAAGGTTGGCCATTTAAGTAAGTTTGAGTCAAAACACGACGGTTATGAACTGCTCAAAAATCAATAGGGATATTGCCAACATTTAGTAGTATTTACGTTCGCTTTAGAAGAAATATAACCAAATAAAAGGTTTTCGTTCCATAATTTCGTTTACTGGAGACAATAATTTTTTAAAATAATTAATACCGTGTATAATGACTTCTGTTAGGTAAAACTCTGTGCTCCTGTTGGGCATACTGTTAACAAGGTTGTCACTAATTTCATAATGAATTTCACTCCATAGATTTCCAACGCTGCACTGAATGACGTGATCAAAGTATCAGCCAGTAAGCCTTCTCTGCATCGCATGCCACATGTGCACAGTGGGATTGAGGTCTAGAGGAAGAACTGGATACAATGGGGGAAGGAGCAGATGGGAAATTCCCAGGTTTTCTAAACACTGATGAACAACTCTGCCTCTATCGTCATCCAGAAATCGAAAATCTCTGCCAATGTTATCCCTGGTTTCAGGGATGTATTCCTCGATAATTTCTTGCACATAACGGACTGCGGTGAGGTTGCCTTCAACAATAAGGAGTCCAGTTCGTCCTCCCATGTAAATCCTAGCCAGGACCATTACACCACTTACTCAAAATGCACTGAAGGGAGCACGAACTGGAGCATTGTACACATCCTCTGATCTCGGTAGACTCTTCGGCGCCTGCCCACAGACAGAAACGCGCCTCATCAGTAAACATAACAGCATTTCAACTGGTGTGCTCTTCTAGACCTTCGCTGCACCATATTCTCCAGAGTTTCTGGGCGCGGGCTGTTGCTGCAGGTCGTCTCAAAGCATACGATGTGAGGCTAACTTCTCACAAACGATTACGAAGTTGAAAAGGCCTTGCCAAAACATCTTGTACTTCATTTAGGATGTGGCACTATGGCAAGGGTTCCGTCTTGCAGTAATGACAATATTTCAATCCTCCCTTGGCGTCTAATACGCTGAGATCCACTATCAGGCCTCCTATTGGCCCTTCCAGTCTCTTGGAATCGAGCTGAAGCATGGGAGCCATGCTCTGAGAAACGCTAGCTGCCTCTGCGATATCCACTTGCTGGCGACCTCGATGACTCATTCTCACAATAATATTGCCAACTTCTGGTTCATAATTTTCATCGTTAACGAGAATAGAATTGGATCAAAATGAAGAAAAGATGAGAAAAGGTATTTGTGTAAATTGGTTTTTGATGTTTATTATTGCGTAAATCCGTTATTAATAAGTAATAATGATTAAGTTATTGATAATTTAATAAGAAAATCCGTTATTAAAAATGGGTATTAACATTTGTTTTTTGGTTTTATTTTCTATAATGTTTTATCCAGCTAGCAAGAACATATTAGTGAATTTAATTAAAATTAATAATTAAGAATAAATCACAAATATACATATTCATTTTTGAGCAGTTTATATTAGCGCGCCGTTTGAATCTGCATTCCCCGCACTTTTTTGCCCAATATTCACGTGAAGGAAGCAAAATTACCGCCGGGAAAAAATCAAAACTCGATAAGATAATCAAGAAAGATAATACGATCACTTCTCACCGTTAAACATTAATCCTTTGATTATTTATTCAAGATATTGTAATAAAATAATAGAATATTACCATTTATTAACAGTGGTGAAATTGGTTTTACCTTTTTCAATTGTCAATTTTTTTTTTTTTTTTTTTTTTTTTTTTTTTTAATGAAATGAAATCTAAGAATATGCACGATTAAACTCTATACAATAAGCTTTGTTTTTTAAAAATAGAATAAGTTGTAAAATTGATATAAACGTTTCATACAACAAAAATTACCAATTTATTAAAACGGGTGAATTGAATAATTGAGGTCGTACAATAGGTAAAATTTATAATTTCACACTATTTCGAGTGTGTGGAAAAGAAAACAAATTGCCAATATAGAAAATTTAAAAATAGAAGATAAAACAAGCCAAACAAAAAAAATGATAAGCGGACAACAATGAGATTTTCCATACTGAAGACTCTCGGCCCGACTACATTATATATTTATTATAATAAAACAGTCAAAATACTCGTTTAATTAAACAATCAATTGTGTTAATGACTGTAATAAGTGCTTGAACCACCGGTCGCCAAACAACACACATTGTTTGTAATGGTAAATTACACCACTTTCCAACGAACAAAAAAGTAATTATATAGTAAAACATCAATATTATATATATATTATATTTTACACCCTTGTACCTATATTGTATAACACTTTGCATTACAAAAGCTGATTCTAAGGCCGGGACTTCACGATCGCGATCTTGCCCTCTGACGCTAAAAATGCAATAAAAAAAAACCTGAATAAAATGAAGTGGCAGCGTCGTCGAACTGATCGGCAGAGAAGCTCTCACGTACCAAGAGCACTTTCGATAGATGGCCCTCGGAGGATCTAACTGGTAGGTTACCTTTTCAAGATTAAGGATAGCCCAGGCGACATTGACACACGGACCAGTTTCTTTTGAGCCAAAGCCCGCCTGACCGGCATGTAGAGAAAAGTTGCTCGATATGTCACATATAATGGAAGGTTGCAACTCCTTGGCTCCATACAGAGAGCGTGTAGGAACGCGATTCGATATGAGAATCGTGCTTGAGCACGGCAGCGAGTATCCCCCGTTCCGATTTTTGTAGGAAACAGGGTTGTTTTATTGTACATAGTACTGACAATTTTGGTTACCTAGCGTGTGTTGTAAGTGAAGAGGCGTCAATGTGTAATGTAAGAAGAGTGATAGCAGAATATTGAGTACCCCATCGACCCTCAATTCGATTGGTTGAGTGAATAGTAAGTATAGGAAAGAATATATTTGAGAACGAATGAGGGTGTGAATAGGCTTGGATTTAGAAACTGATTGCGTTGAGTGATAAAATGACCTAGCTGTTTCGGTTTGACCCCGGACAGCCAACACCCATGGTGAATGATTCTCGGGGCCCGCCGGTAATTTATTGTAAATTGCAAAAGCAGGAATTGCCGGTAGACTGCGAGAAGTGGTAGGTTCAACTCTGTACACATGGGTATACGGTGCACATTTGAGGTTATATAAATCAGAAATCATAAAAGCTGATTCTTTCTATAATTGAATACGCCAAATAGGACATTTCAACTCTTTAATGGATATATATATATATATATATATACACAGGCAGAACAATGTAATATTACATTTTAGATAGTCAGTAGGACTAGTAAGGAGTAAAGTAAGNGAGAGAGAGAGAGAGCGAGAGAGTTGTTGTTGTGGTTTTGTGTTGTTTCGTAATTTGTGAAGTCGTGAGGAGCGGTCAAGAATGAGGTAGTTTAGAAAAACACCTATTTCATTTTTTTTTTTTTTTTGCCGACGTTTCGACCTTCATTCGGGTCAACTTCAGGGCCTGGGTAAATTACAAATTAGTTATATTAGTTATTACCGTTAGTCTTAAATTGTATTTTTTCCAATCAACATGTTTTATAATTTATCCATGCACTGAAGATGACCCGAATAAAGGTCAAAACGTCGAAACCAAGCCATTTATAAAGGACAATCATATATTCCGTTGCCTAAAATTTCTCTATTCAATTTATTAACTTAACAAAAAGATTATTATATGTTAACACGATAATAATGACTCTTAGTTATTATGTTATTTATTGGTTGTAACTGTTTACCACAATCTACAATAACTTTGAAGTATTAGATGAATTCAGTCAAATAGTCTTTATTTTTTGTCTTTCCACCTACAAGTTCTTTAAAAAGAAGCAACCTTGAGAATAAAAACTGTTAAAATACTCTGCTTTTATCCTTTAATCAAAAAGTTAAACGATTTTTTGAATAACAATTTTGATTTCGATTTGGCAATCTTGATCTTGAAAGCATTTCCGAGAAGGCTTTTTGTAAAACAACTTCTGTTTGATGCGGAATGTTAAAAATGTCAAAAAAAAACTCGCACAAGGAAAAATCGATTTAATTTCAGGTCTTGTTTACTACAGCAGTTTGTTTATATTGAGAAAACAATATTTGTGTCAATGGAAAAAATTCAGAACTAAGATACATAGGAAACGTTTATTAACAATGTTTTAACTTTAAAAGAACTATTGTTTCATTAAGGTGACATTTTATAATGAAACTACTTAGATTTGTTGAATTTCCAATATACGCAACTTTATACTAGCAAATTTATGGTATGAGAAATTTAACGAAATTATTGTTGTATTCTCTCGAACTGGGCAAGCCTGCAATTTAAAAATAGACCCTCCTCAACCAATTGGCGAAGGACGTTCAGTTTTACCAAAGTTCGTATATATTATTTACGAGAAATGGAATTCGACCCTTGGAGAGATCGAAACGCTTGGCGGGTCAACCCTAGCAGTGCAAATTGCATAGAAGATACAAGAATAATTATGTACTGAATAAATATCCACGCGAACGGCTATTATCCTGGATAACATTCTTTACAAGTGAGGAGTGGTACAATAAAACGAGAAATAAAAAATGATGAAGACTTGTCTGAACGTTCAACATTTGACCTCGGTTCGATGTACGGTAAATATTTGTTGCCTGTTCTTGCTTATGTTGTGAAATCTGGGACGATTCGAACAAACAACTTATTGAAAATTTGTTTAGTTAACATTAAAATTTCAATTGTAATATATTAAAATAAGATCGGAAATGAAGCTAATTAGAAAGAAAAATTAAGTTTTCACTTCCTCATAACTAAAACATTAATCAATAAAGTAATAGGTTAACAAATATGATCATCTATTCACCATTTTAAAACCAATGGTTTCAAGTACAGTGGAATTAAATACTGAGAGAAAAAAGCAGCAGATTAAATATCTCCAGTGCATTTTACAACAAAAATCCTCAAAAACTGGACCAACTGGCTGTTTTCGTTCTAATTGGCATCATCATTGATCGTTTTTCATATACGATTTAAAATTCCCATTAGAATGGATAATGAAACAATTTACGAGGAACCACATATTTATTATCCAGCTGGTTAAAGAGCCAAAATTGATTCATTTATTCAGATTGGTTAAATTATCGTTTAATATTTATTACTTATTTGTTTAAATAACGGAAATTTATAAAAGGATGTTCAAATCCAATAATGAAAAATTTAATACATTTTTCCTATCCTATTTATTGGGGGGTTCGCTTTTTGGTTTGTAACTCATTTACATAAAACAAATAACAGACACCAAATTATGAGATTTTGATTATTTGTGACGCTGTCGGAAAAAAACCACTCAGTTTAAATAATAAATGGGCGAGCTAATTTAATTGAATTACTTGATCAGTTGATTACTCAATTAAATGAACAATAGACGAATTTTAACAATTACCAGGACCCCTTTTTTAACAAGCAGCAAGTTCGATAAGGCTTTCAAAATCCTTTCTATTTATTATTGTATTATACATACAAGAGGATTTTTTCCAAAACAGGGATCTTTGATTTTTCACTCTATTGAAATATCATTTTATATTAAATTTTTGAGTGTAGCCATTCCGATAAAGCTGTATTTTTTTTTTCTCCCCCTCCAGAGCATAATAAAATAATATATAAGATGGTATTAAATGAGATGAGTTACGTACAAAGTTACAAAAACCGAAAGATGCTTCCAGTAAAGTAGGCCAAAAAGCATTTTTGTCCAAATAAACAATTCGGATTCGTTTTAAGCACCTTTTAAAACCCACAAATTCGAATTCTCATCGCAATAGAAAATAGACATTTTTGGATGGATTCGACGATGTAGGCACAAAATATTTGAACTCCTCGGTTTATTTTATGATTACAATTTTAATGCCATTATTATTAGTTATGCATTACGTGTAGTTTATAGGGTTCTAAACCCCGGAAGGTATCCTAAGAAACATTAAAAACTCAACAATTATGTACAAAATTAAATATATACAAGAAAAATGTTTTTTACATTGTTTCAGATCTATTGGCAGAGAACCATCATTTTTTCCTAAGTATCATCAAGATTTATGTTATTATTATTAAGATTATTTAACATGTAAATTACTTATGTACAGTTGTATGGAGAAGAATAACCCGAATGTTATGGTTTACTCCATAAAAACGTTATTGACAGAGTTTCAGACTTACTGACAAATATCTTGAATATAACTATCAAGATAATACAATAATCATTAAGCATGTTAGTTAAATTTGCATGGTAATGTTCTACAACGAAAAAATGCAGTTTTATAGTGAAACAAGGTGAAAGTCGTTGTTTACTCCAAATGAACCATGTTACAAACTCATTTGTTAATTGAAATTCAGGGATATATTGAAATATGTTTGGTGTAGGAGAAATTAAAACCCAACAAATATCTATAAATGTAAATATATATAAATAGTACGTACGTTTTAATAAAAAATAGTTTTTGACGGGATTTCAGACCTACTGACAACTATCTTGAATATAACTGAGAAGTTAAGCGCGAATGTCGTTGTTTACTCCCCAAGAAACGTTAAAAACTCAACAAATATGTACGAGAGTACCTTATAATAAATGTAGTTTTGACAGGGTTTCAGATCTAATAGCAGACAAATATCATTATCTGCAATTATTCTGAAATCGTGAGATGCGGTCTGGTGTGATGTAAGTTTCAGAAAAACATTTTCTTTGTCGTGCCAACGTTTCGATCTTTATTGAGATCATCTTCAGTGCCTGGGATTTACAAACATTGTTTACATTTAACAAATACATTTAGGATGTGCAAAAGTGAATTTATACAAAATACATATATATTTTTTTATATATATATTCAATCAATTGTAAATCCCAGGCCCTGAAGATGATCTCAATAAAGATCGAAACGTTGGCACGATAAAGAAAATGTTTTTCTGAAACCTACATCACACCAGACCGCATCTCACGATTTCTGAATAATTATCGATTAACGGTCACTAATCACCACACATCATTATCTGCATTACTATCATCAAAATCGTAATGTTCCATAACGAAAATATACAGTTGTACGCGAAAGTCGTTGATTACTTCACAAGAAAGAAGATAAACACTCATTTGTTCATTGAAATTACGCGACATACTGAAATATGTTTGCTGGAGCAGAAATTAAAACTCAACAAATATACATAAATGTAAATACACAAATATAAATATGTATTTACGTTGCAATAAAACAAATGTTTTTGTCATGGTTTCAAGCCTATTTACAACTATATTGGATAAAATTGAGAAGCTAAATGCGAATGCCGTTATTTACTCCACAAGAAGCCTCAATACTCAACCAATATGTACGTTATATGATTTATTTTATTTCATTTATTTATTTTTTATTTTTTTATTTTTTTGACAGGGTTTCAAATGTAATAGCAGACATATCATATCATCATATCTGCATTACTATCATCAAAATGGTAATGTTTTATAACGAAAATATACAGTTGAACGCGAATGTCGTTGTTTACTCCACAAGAAAGAAGCTACAGACACATTTGTTCATCGAAATTACGCGACATACTGAAATATGTTTGCTGGAGGAGAAATTAAAACGCGACAAATATCTATAAATGTAAATACACAAATATAAATATATATTCACGTTGTAATAAGTGTTTTTGACAGGGTTTCAGACCTATTGACAACTATATTGGATTTAACTGAGAAGCTAAACGGGAATGTCGTTATTTACTCCACAAGAAACCTCAACAAATATGTACGTTATATGAAAAAGTTGTTTTTTGACAGGGTTTCAGATCTATTAGCGGTCAAATATGATATTTGTTGTACGCGAATGTCGTTGTTTACTCCACAAGAAAGAAGCTACAAACTCATTTGTTAACTGAAATTCCGCGATATACTGAAATTGTTTGGTGTAGGTGAAATTAAAGCCCAACAAATATATATATACAAATGTAAATACACAAATATAAATATGTTTTTAAGCTGTAATAAAAAAATGTTTTTGACAGGGTTTCAGACCTATTGACAACTCTTTTGAATCTAACTGAAAAGCTAAACGCAAATGTTGTTTACTCTACAAGAAACTTTAAAAATTCAACAATATAGTTGTATAGAGAAGATGTACGGGAATGTCATTGTTTACTCCACGAGAAAGAAGCTAGAAACAGTTGTTCATTGAAATTACGCGTTATACTGAAATATATTTGGTGTAGGAGAAATGATATTTTTAATTAAGATGTTGAGCAACTTTTGGGAATTTCAGAGAGCTGTCGATTCGAGTACAACTCAAACAATCAGCTTATTTGCCAAAATTGTACGGACAGTGTTGAATGGAATTGTGCGAGGCGGGACGACTGACGGTTTGAAGAAGAGCTATTTTATCAGGAAGAGATGGTGAAGAGAGTGAGAAGACTGAAGAGTGATATTGTGATTTATCACTCAAGGTTGATGAGGGAAGATGAGAGGGAACGGCTGGGAGGTTTTTATCAGGTTGAAACACGTGATCTAAGTTCGCAGGTTACAAATATCTGGGCGAGAACGACAACACGGGATGGAAATCCTACCGAAGAGGGAAAATAGATGTAACACTAGCGGACAGGAGGTTCGGACTCGGCGGAGGCCGATTTTTTACGTATAAAATTGAAATTGATCTGTCCTTTACCTGTTCTTGGGCGTGTATTTATCCGGCTTGACGAACACCTCTCCGACTTGAATCCAGTCTGACACACCGTTCGGTAACGTACTTAACACTCCCGTCCTGTCGCCGTTCGGAGTCCCGTAGCGGGCTTTGACGCACACGCGGTAGGTCTTCTCCTTCTCTCCAGCCGGGAGGACGACGTCGACGAGGGCGTAGGTGGCGTTGGCCCATCGGAGGCGCGTCTCCCTCAGGCCGTCCTCGGGGCATCCGCCGCCCCCGTCCTCGGCCCCCGCGAGGGCGAACTCGTCCGAAGGGGCGAAACCGGAGCCCCGGAGGGCGAGCGAGAGCCGGACGCCGCCCGACGAAGGCCTCGAACGCGTCCAGTCGGCCACCTCGACGTGGTCCACCTCCGGCACGTTCCTCGCGACGCTGGTCCCCGTCGCCCGCGTCACCAAAAGACCCAAGAACGAAATCGAGACGAGCCTCAAGAGACCGGTCGCCATTGGTGATTCCTTCCACACTGGCTCGCTGTGGAAAACGAGTCGATTGAACAGCCGCTGGTGGGGGCAGCCGGTCGACTCTCATGCGCTCTCGAGCCCACGGACGAAACCCGCTCTCGCCGCCAACAACACCAACCTCCGCGGACCCAAATTTCAACCATTCATTTCGACATTGCCTTTTTTATTAATTTATTTGCTTTTTCACCAACTCGTTTTGCATCTGAAACCGATTACTAGTTCGATAATGCTCGCGTTACCGTATAACAATAATTTCTACGTTTTCTACGTATTCAAGGTATTTAAAAAGTAGTTTTACGTTATTTCCTTAATATAGGTAAAATACTAAAAAAGGACAGGTAAGTACAGCTTGGAATTATTCCACCTGACAATAGTTTTATATATACTAGGTTTTACCAGTGACTTCGTCCACGCGGGACTCTGTTTTAATGTACCATTCTAATGCGATGCAGAGTGCTAGTACCGCTTTCTAAATTCTCAAATTCTTCTATTCATCAGTCCACTTCGGTCTATTAATAGTCGGTAAAAAATAGTCCATTTTTTATTATCTCCTTAGGGATGGAATTTCAAAAAATCCTTTCTTAGCGGCTCTCCATGTAATTATAGGAATGCATTGTCGAAATTTCAGCCGTTTAGATCCAGCGGTTTGGTCTGTGCGTTGTCTGTCAGTCAGTCACGGTGTTTCAATACCGTGATTTATATACACTGACAGGCAAAAAATTCCACCCAGTTGATTTTTTTTAAATTTTCTTGTTAAAAGAAAATTCTGCCTTAATTTGTCTCATTGTTTTCATCAGTAAACTTATTTATGCTGTATTTTAAATTGGGAATATCAATTAGAGGTAAGCACACATAATCCTTAATCCAAAACAAGGGTAAAGGATTTTTCAATGTTTACTTTGCACGGAATTTAAAGTGTTTATTCAGTCTCCTTTGAATTATGAAGCAATACAAATGCCAATTAGTGCTGAGGTTTTGGCGCGTGGTATGGCGCTTAGTGATGGACGTTCCATCAGGTATGCGACTGTTGCTACCGGAGTTCGCTACGAAACTATGCGAGAGGCTGTTAGACGTTTTCGAGAAACTGAGTCCTACCATAGAAGGCCCGGTACTGGACGCGCTAGGGTTACAGAACTACAAGATGACCGTTTTTTGACTGAGAATTTTGCGAAACCGGCACCATACTGTTGTTCAAGCGATTCATCAGCTCCAGGAAGTTCGAGGTGACCAAATTTCTGAACGCACTACTCGAAGAAGATTAAATCAGTACGGACTGATGGCTTTTCGCCCCGTAAGAAGACCAGAATTGATCACAACACATAGAGTTGCATGGCTCGCATTTGCAGGAGAATACAGCCATTGTCCTTTGGACGATTGATCTCCTGTACTTTTTACAGATGAGTGTAGATTTATAGGCGTGAAAGAGTGTGCAAAAGGCGAAATGAAAGGTACGAACCTTTAGTTTTTCCCAGAGCCAACCTTTTCAACATACCTCTGTGATGACGTGGGATGGTCTTTGACGGCCACTCTCTGTGTGGATGAAATTTTCACATCTTGCATTGCCTATCCTCGATGAGCTCAGATACAATCCTATTCTAATGCACGATAATGCCCGTCCACATGTCGCTCGCATAGTACAAACGTACCTTCAACAGCATAACATCAAGGTCTTAGCCTGGCCAACCCATTCTCCAGAACATTTATGGGATAACCTCAAAAGACGAATAAGAGCACGTCCATCACTTCCTGAAACGCTCCACGATCTTAAAAGGACTCTTCGTGAAGAATGGGCTAACCTCCAGCGAAGAGACATTTCCAGACTGATACAAGTTATGCCGAAGCGTCGTCGAGATGTAATTAAGGCAAGAGAAGGAAATACGCGATATTGAAAATCTAAAGCAAAATTAAAACAATTTTATCTGTCCGTCTTTTTTTTATTATTTTTTTAAAATATTTTTTCCATTTTCCTTTAGCAATTTACATTTTTTTTAAACTTTTTTAGACAAAGTCTCAAATAATAAACGTTAAAAAACTTGAAACTTTGATTAATTTATACAAATATATATTATACTACAAATGAGTAGAATGTTTTGCCTGTGTATATAAATTTTTAATTAATAAAATAAAAAGTTGCAAGAAATGTAACGGTCACTAACTGTTAACTAAATCACAACCAATGCGGAGGTGTATTAGTAATTAATTAGGTAATAGATTTGATAGTACACACAGTGTCCCCACAGTTTTTTCTTTATTAATCTTTTTTGCACATATTTTTGGGATTGTTACTCAAATTTATGTTAGACAAATTGAAATGTTTTTGTACACATTTTTATATAATTTTTCGAAAATGTAGATGGATTCCCAGGAAGAGTCTTTAAGAACTATGATATCCCCTGCACTGAACCTATAGTGCGCTGTTGTTTCCTGAATCATCAAGGAATTTGATTATTAGAATCGATTGTAGTGGTCGTATTTTCCCAAGGTTCTTCGAAAATGTAAGAAAGGTTTGCAACAACAGTTTTAGTAAATCGTTTGGTACAGTAAACACTTTGGTAACAGCAGACATACGTATATTGATGTAGTTAGAAATCACATAAATATAACCACCATACAAGTTTTCAAATTAAATTCGCCTTTTTGCAAATCAAAATAACATTTGGATGTTAAATTCGGACTTTGACAAATCAAATGCGCCGTTAAAATGTAGGAAATTTTACATGGTTCCCACCTTCTGGAAATTTGCACAAGTCTTCATGATACAAAAACTGAGGAAACCGCCGAACAAATTTAGACATCGCTACTTCTGGTACAGTCTCTTAAAGTAACGAAAGATTATTACTAAAAATAATAAAAATTACCCCTGACCAATGGAAAACTCCTTACCAAGTCACTAACCACACTATCCTCAAAGACCTCATCATTCCTTTTGACAGTTCACACCAACCTCTTGACACCATCCTAACCCTATTGTTCGAGCCCTCTCCACACATTCAAATCCTGAGACTCCAACACGTCCCCTTAATCGACGATGATCTCTTCTTGCCTTTAATGTGTCCTCCGGGTGGAGTCTGGACATTGGCGTTAGTGATTTGGCCGTGTGAAAAAACGTGCTGAGATCATTATCGGGTACATGTGCTAATATGTACAGGCTACAAATAAAAATAAAAAATATTTCCTAGGAGAGATAACGATTGTCCCAAAGTTACATAAATGCTGGGAAAAAACGGAAGATTTTACTATTTGCACCCGTATAAAAGCCTTGAAAAAAAAAGAAAATATTTTCTACGAATGGGTAACATTAGATACCTAATCTGGCAATTCAAACACGTTTGAAAAGTAACACTCGATAAAAAAAAAACGTGCACTCCTGCTGGCTTACTTTTGTTATTATTATTATTATTATTATTATTATTAATTTTTAAGGGCGTTTTAACGGCTACGGTCATTTCACGCCCTAACATCCAAACCTTCTACCTTAGGTTAGCTATATCTCTTCTGAGTGCTATAAAGCTGGAAGCTTTTATCATTTTAATTTGTTTTGAATTGTATATAATTATTATTTTACATTAAATAATATAATAAAAATACAAGTAAATAATAACATTAAAACGTTGGAAATTTTGTCTACCACCAACAAATTTGAAACAGCAGAGGTCATATAAATATGACCAAATAAATGCAGGGCCGCTGGATTCGAACCCGGGACCTTTACCTTACAGTGATGAGTGCCGTGTCAACGCCCAAACCGTTGCGGCCACCGACGACCCTTATTATTATTATTTTACTGTTTATAAAAATAAAATTATTTGTAAAATATGTACATTTAAGGGGCTTAAAGCTCTATTTGTACCTTTAAAATAAATAAATAAAAATAAAATAATCTTAAGGACGAACAAATCCTTCTTCCCGAGCAGTTTCAAATATAAGAATTTTTTCATAAATAAATGTTTGAAAATAGTTTTATAAAAATATCTTTTAATGATTCATGATCTCTTTAAAAATAATTTTTCCATTGCCTTGCAAACTAAATCAGACAGCTTTTGCATCATCTTGATGATCGATTTATGTAATTAATTTACAATACGTTAGCCAGGATTTAAAGATCTGTTTGTTTACTAAACCCTCCTCAGCAGAAAAAAAAGATTAGATATCTAAATAGACTTGAGGATAAGATTAGATTTTATTGGGCCGACGTTTTTGCAATTTACGAACACTAAATAGGTAAGAATTACGACGCTATTAAGCACACGTCAGCTTTTATTGGCAAGTCATAAAAAAAATAAACGAAGAATGGTTCACTAATGTATTTTATGGATGTTTAAAATATATCTTTTTAGGTCATGAAATATTTGGGTAAGCCTTGTACTATCATTGGATTCAATCGGTCAGTACGTTTCCGTGGTGTAGCGGTTATCACATCTGCCTAACACGCAGAAGGTCCCCAGTTCGATCCTGGGCGGAAACAAACTTTTTTTAAAAGTATTTTCTCTATTAATTTATTTCATTTTAAAACTAATTATTTTTTTTAAAGTTTATATTTAATTTAAAAAAACCGAAAATTTTGTCTGCTACTAGGTACCAATAAATTTGCATAAGATATTACTGTTATTTTACTTTTTATAAAAATAAACTTATTTGTAAGATATGTACATTTAAGGGGGCTTAAAGCTCTATTTGTACCTTTAAAATAAATCAATTACATTTTATTTTCATTTGAGTAAGCTCTCTTAATTTATATACATACATACATAATACAATGATTATGTATTTTTTATGTCAAATTAATTACAACATCCTTATTTTAATGTAAATAAAATTAAAAGAGATCACAAATTCATGAATTTTAGTCAAAATATTATTTAATTATGATGGTTTGAAAGAAAATTCTCCAAAACACCTGAAAATCATTTGGTGATATATTAAAAGTTAAATAACAATTTATTCTATCACTGATCAATGATTGTCAGATTTTTTGGTGAATTTCCTTTCAAACCATCATAATTAAATAATTTTTGTTTAATTGGTGAATATTATTATTAGGCTTTTTGTTCAAGTGTAAAAGTTTGAGTTACTGTACAATTGAAAAGGTTAACAAGTTGTTTAATTTTTTATGTTTTAACTAAAAATGATAAATCTATAACTTACACTAAAAATTAGCAAGTAAAGATTTTTCCAAAAATGTTGGGTTCGAATGCAGGGCTGCTGGATTCGAACCTGGGACCTTTACCTTACAGTAATGAGCTCCGTGTCAACGCTTAAACTGTTGCTGCAACCTACGCCTCCTTGTTAATTAATATTGCTATTATCTTCGGTATTTAATAAACAGCCTTTAAAATAATTATGATAAATAATAAGAATAATTATGAATGCCTAATCCAATGCTATACAGGAAAAACATCAAAATTCTGAACTGAAATAGCAAATATAATCAGACATTTTTTTATATAATAAGATTAACAATGCAAACTACAGTTAAATTAGTAGCAGTTTTTTAGCTTTAAAAAATTGGGTTATTTACAACATATGACAATTTTCTTCAGGTTAATATCATTAGACAAAGTAAATGATGAAAGCTTCAAACTTTTTGTTTATTAAGTATACAAAAATTTAATGAATATAGCCATTATATAGTGTACCCATGACGTGAATATAACTTTACTCAAGATAACAGAACTGTCTTTGTTTTGCAACTTATAAGAAACTGTAAACATTTGTAAACAACTTATGAAACCTTGATATTAATTTATTAATTACGTTTTTAGTCAGGCTTCTTTTCCTTCTTTCATTCCTTTGAACCTATCATCAGCAATGAGTGAATGTGTTGTCTTGGATTAGTTTTCAGAAGTGATCACTGTTTAAACATATTTTCAACATCTTAACGTTATGATCATCGTATCAATTCTGTGGCAATAAATTATTAATTATTCTTCATATCGAAGACAATCCTCTAATATAAATACACCTCAAATTTGTCTTTGTTGTTTTCATTTAAATATTGTACTACGGGTGTCGAAATATTTTGCTGAATGGTGGACGAACAAATACATACTTTTATTATTTAGAAATACTCTTCTAATTTGGTTGACCTAGTTTAATTGTCAAAATATCCTATTACGTTCATGCCATCTTATGCAATCAATATTTCTCATTACTATTATTTTCACTGTTGCTAAATGTCTTTTAGAAATTGGTTAAAACTACCATTCTAATTGCCATTTCTATAATAACCAGAGTTGTTTTTATCACTTTATAAAATTGTTATTTGTATAGTAATAACAAATCCGCTTTCAAAATAATTGCATGGGTCAACTTTTTTTAATACATTGTTAAAACCGAACTTTTAAAATTGTCAAAATATGTATGTCGTAAAATAAACATCTCAACTATTAATGATGTCATGATGACAACAATATGATCTATCAAATATTAACCACAATCCCTGACAAATTCTTATAACAGGAAGATTAGAATATTTAATTTTTATTTCAATTGTTTTCTTAAAAAATTTATACATTTAACAATGTGATGGTAGTGAACAATAAAATAAAAATCTGGCAGGAATCTGTATTTAGGGTAGTTAGGAATAACAACTGTCACGAACTCACACTTCTTAGGTGGCATAGTTGATTGTTAGGGTGGAACATTGAAGCTAATGGATTGGTGTGGGGGAAAAGCTTGGAGTGAAAGTTGTGGAATCGTATTTGGATTATATCCATCATGAATGGGATGTCTAGGCCTTTGTGAATGGTTTGATTATTGACGTAGAATGGAGTGTTGATACCACAGAGGACTTTTGATTCAAAAGATTGGATTCTTTGGATGTTGGAAGGCTTAGAGTAACCCCACAGATCAACTCTTTACGTCCAAATTAGTGTCTGGTGTATGGTTAATTTATTGTGTATACTCACTGAGGATTTAAGTCCAAGACGGCGTCTGAATCGTCCATACCTTCAGTGTTTTTGTTTTGTGTTCTATGTAGCTGCCCATGTAGGACCCAAGAGGGAGGATTTGGTTGGATAGAGGGATTTCCTTACTGTATATGTGCACTGGTTGACAGGTATATCTTCTAAGTGTGAACATCACGTGTGGCTCTTTTTTTCATTTAGCTTAATGGACCACCAAGTGCAACAGTTGGTAATGAGGTCTAGATGGTCTTGGGTTACATAGGGTCAACAGAGGAATGCGGTGTCATCTGCAAAGATTGTGTTGTGGGTGTTAGGGTAGTATGTCAATGGTGTAAACTGTGCAGAGCAGGGGTCGGCAACCTGCGGCCCTTTGCAACTTTTTGTGCGGCCCACCAAAGCCCAATATAATTTTAGGAAAAATCAACAAACTTTAAGCGTTTCAAAATGAGCGTGAGCGTGTCAAAATGTGGCCGGTGACAAAAAAGCGCGCTAACAGAAGCATAGTGGGAAACCTATTTTACTGTGCAAGTTTAATCCCCACTCCCCATAATAATATTTATACTCGTATATGATATATAAGCACTAATTAAGTTACATTTGAATGTGCGGCCCGCATAAAAAAATTTATTTTGAAAATGGCCCGTCTTCCAAAAAAGGTTGCTGACCCCTGGTGTAGAGGATTGGTCCTAGGATACTCCCTTGGGGATGTCCAGCCTTGATGGGCTTGATGTTTGCAAATTCAGAGCCATTCTTACAATGAGAGGAAGTTCTTCAGGATGAGGTAGAGAGACCTTAACAGTATACTCTGCCAAATGTCTCTAAGACGTCAAGAAATACTGCTGAGTGAAGTGCATATTTTCTTGGGCAGAGCGTATTGTGTCAACTACTCCTTTGATGAATTTTGTTACTGCTTTTCTTCCAAAGTTTGTTAGTTGGTTCGTAGATTGTTTGTGTCCAAGTGAGTTCCATTGTTCCCTCATTTTCTTTTTTCCTTCTGTCTAAGGCACTCATTGCTGGGTCCTACCATTGGTATATCATCCCCTCTTCTTACAAGGGCATAGACTTTCTTGTCGCCTTCTACTCCCACATGTCCTAAGTCATAGCTGAGGGTGACTGTTTTGCATACCTAATTCGTTTAGTTTTATTTTGCAAGCTAACGATATTTGAACTTAGTGCTTTGATGGCTGCTTGGCTATCTGACGTAATAGCCGTATTGTTTTCATGGCCAATTTGTAAAAAGACACTAACTAAAAAAGAAAGATTGATTCTGCTAAGATGTCTTACGTCGCAGTGTAAGAAATGAAGACTACTGTCCACACAAGCAGAAAAACATTCAGTTGAAGATTCATTGATTTGTCTATAGTTGATAGTAAATACAAAAAAAAAAATAATAGTATGGATATTCAATTTCAGCTTTCAATTTTATCTGTTAGCCAAATCATGCTGTTTGTGTCTCATCATCTAAATTTGGCCAAAATTGATGGAATAATTTTGGTTTTAACAATTTTTTTTTTAAGTATCACCAACAATTGTATTGAAGCCTGTAAGGTGCTTGATTATTAATACTTGTCATTTGATCATCTCCAATCATCATGTTATAGCTGGATTCACTAATTTGTACATTCTACAAATAGTTGCTAAAAAAAGGAGTAGTAAGGGAATATTGGAAAATAGCATGTATGGTTACCCATTGGTTTATTACAATAAGAATAGTTAATTTTTTTTAAAATAACAACTCACTATTATTGTATACATTTAAAAAAATAATGGACAATACGATAAAAAATTCACACTATTTACAGAGATCTTCTGTCATTGCGCCAACATGCAATTATTCAAAGATGAGGCTTATCAGTTTTTATTTATTTATTTTTCTTGACAGTACTGTTTAAATTATAAAAATATTATACACAATCAATCCTTTGTTGATTGTTTTATTTACAATTTTGCTATGAATCGAAAATAACTTTCTTTCTTTCTTTTTTTTTAGAGCAAATGTTTAATTTAATATTGGATTAGGTTGCCCAGTACCAAAATTAAAAATAAATTAACAATTTACAGAAAAATGAATACATGAAAAATACATAGAGGGGTTTCAAATAGGTTTACAACAATCCTACGCCAAGGAGTATCAATTAATAGAACAAATAAAATGTACTATTACTATGATTTGGTATATTGTAAAAGCTTAAGTAGTACTATTAAACAAATAATAATAATACAAATATAAAAATTAATTGCACCAAAATACATCATGTACTGTGTAAAAGAAATATGTAAAAAAAAAAACTAATTTACAACTAGTCATTTGTTTGCTTGTTAAAATTGAACCGATGAAATAAAAGTAGCCACTAGTGGAACAATAAACAACACAAATAAAACTTACTTCTTTTTAAAAGAAAAATGAAATTAAAAGAATGTAGACAAAGTCCCAAATTAGTATAGGTTTTAGTATCACAGATTAACCTATGGAATGAAAGGATCTGTTACTTCCAAGCTTAAAACTTATAAGAAAATTTATAGCATGAGTGAAAAGGTCTGAAACATTTCTTTAAAATAAATTTTCTCTATATACAATATAAACAAAATGAAGGATGAACTTCACAATAACTCTAAATTAATAGTTTTTTAAACAACTTTTTTTTTGTTTTATTTTTTACATAAAAATAAAACTATCTACTGAATATAAATTAAGAATTTGTGTAGTATTTGGAAATACTTTCATACCGTAACCACCAATTTAAATTAGGGTTCTATTAAATAAATCACCAATACATTTGTGCGAAAGGGACAAATTAAAATCGCATGAAAACATACAATTTGAGAAGAAATAAACTGAAATAATTACAAATAGTAAGTACATAAAAGCCAGGAAATTAAAGGCATTGCTTAGCTTTGCCTTTCATCTGGCTACCGTCCACCTGAAAAAGGAGGACCAAGTAGTGATTTGTAACATACAACTAAAAAAACAAAAAACTTAATTATAATCAGGTATCAGAGGGGTAAAATTCCCTTTTGGGGGATTTTGAAGCGTTCAGGGTGTTCGTTGATGATCGTGTGGCTTTCTGGTGGGCAGAGGATCCGTCTGATCAAGCATAGTCTGGTTGCCCCTTGGTACTACGATTACAGAACCATCGGCTGTCTGTTGGAGGCTCCACTCGTATGGTGAGTAAGGATTTCCATCCGCATCCCTCAAAGACTGAAAAAAAACAAGAAAAAACAAATTCAACAATGTTAATATAATGGGGTGATTAAAACATGATGAAACTGTAGCTTGATTGTCTTCAATCATCCTGGTTTGCCATCCTTGACTATTTAATATTTTGAAACAGCATGTAGAGGAAAAATTAACACACACCAACAACTGAATATGACAAAATACTGGAACATATCTGACAGAAAATCCAGCGAGAATAGGAATCCAGGATATGAGAGAATCAAGCTATATCTACTTATAAAAAGTTTTTCACTTCTCTTAATGTTTTTTTTCTGTCTTGTAATGTTATTGTTATTGGCATCATTTAATTCTTTACTATACTGAACCAATTGTAAACAAACTAACAAAATTCTTCCATTTAATACTAAGTTTGGCATATCTTTAATGGCATTGAATTATGAAACTGTGAAAAAAATGAATGAAAAATGTGAGAAACAGCAGCAACGGGACTGTTAAAGCAAATCAGAAGAAGAAAAGACTGCACGAGGTAACTGCAATAAATAATTTTATAATTTAAAACATTCAAGCATCCCAACATATAAAGCACAATAGAAGAAATCAAGCTGCTCTCACTTACTAAAATCTGACCTTGCACCTTCAGACTACTTCAAAGCAATGGGTTGCTTTCTTAAGGAAAAACATTTCACAAACTACAAGGCAAAACGGAGTAAAGCACATGTACATACATATACGTGTGTACAGAGTCATATCACTTTTCATAGTCCATCTGCAGGCCTTGAGAATCATTCACCCTGGTCGCAATCCAGGGTCAAACCTTGGTCTTAACCACAGCCACCAAGGAGCTATCAACAGCTAAATCATTTCAGCTCCCACACGATCAGTTCCTAAATCCAAACCCATTCTCAGCCCTCCCCCCCAGTTCTCAATCACTAAAAATATTCTGCACAACCATCTCACTCTGCACACTCACGCTAATAAAAACATTCAACACACACTAGGGTATACAACAATAAAAGCACCATATAAAGTAAAACAACCCTGTGTTTACGCCTAAATTTAAATTGAATTTTTATTTTATGTTTAACATTACAATTAATTAAGGTTTTTAGTTGAGATGAAAAAAAAGTTAATGGCACAAGCGGGATTCGAACCCACGATCTTCGGCTAGATACGCCGCTGCTCTACCACTTGAGCTATCATGACCTCGATCCACTCGGACATCAACTTCCTATCTCAACCCCACCTTACGAGTTTTCCCTCCTTTTTGCCATTTTTCAAATGTCGTGCAATCGGATTGGATTCTCGACGACAAATGAAATGCTAGAGCAGCGGTGTATCTAGCCGAAGATTGTGGGTTCGAATCCCGCTCGTGCCATTAACTTTTTTTTCATCTCAACTAAAAACCTTAATTAATTGTAATGTATTAATTGGTCAAGCGGACCACAAAATTAGTGAAATTTATTTTTAACAGTTAGAGTTCGTTTGGTCTCGTGGCTATGGGGACCAAATGTTTAGGCTTCCTTTTGCTATGGGAACCAAATGTTTATGCTTTTGGTTGCGGTACTCCTCTATGCTTCAAGCTGGTATGGGATGTTACAGAGATTCCCAGGGGGAGGCCTCTGGAAGAAATGGAGATGGGATTATCTGCACAACTTTCCACATAGAGGGAAGTGGACAAACCCTGAAACCAAGGTAGAAGAAGGGTCACTGGTCCTCCTACAAGATGATCATGCACCACTGCTACATTTGCCACGAGGACGAGTAATCCATGTCCACTGTGGCCAAGATGGAATAACAAGAGTACTCAAAGTAAAAACAACAAAAGTAGTCTATACATGTACAACGATCACTTATCACCCTACTTCCTGATTGTTGGGCTGGAAATGTATAAAATTTGATGGGTGGAATATTTAGACCAAAATTTAAATTGAATTTAAATTTTAATTTTTCCAGTTAAGAGTTTGTTTGGTCTCAATGCTATGGGGACAGAATGTTTATGCTTCCCGTTGCTACAGGAACCACATGTTTACACTTTTGGATTTTGGTTGCTATGAGCATCGTTGCTACGGCAATTTGTTTTGTATTTTTCATTGCCACAGAAATGGTCCTTCCTTTTGTCAAGTGACTTAATCAGTCGCGTCTCAACTGCCAAGAAGACAATACACATTACATTTTTAAAGTTACATTTTTCAGGCAGTAATATTTTGTATAAGTTGAATTGTATTATGTATCCAATAGTTTAATTTCAGTTCAATAATATGGGCGTTATTATTATTCGTCTGCTGCAGTACAATCAGTTGTGTTCTATGTCTCGACACACAACGACTGCTTGCCTGACATCTTCCTGCATTGCAGCATCAGTGGGCCCGATTTCATCAGTCTTTCCCACACGACCCCAACGCTACATCACATAAATCAATACTACTTACAAGTGAACTTTTAGCCTACATATCTTTAATCAAACTTAGTTTTTTCTTTCTTTTCATAATTCATTGATGAGCTCTTTCGTTGTTTCTTTAATTTTTAATTTAAAACTAATACTATAATTTTATTTATTGGTTTCATTATTAAAGTTTAAAACACTTAATATTAACTTAAATAATATTAGATAATATTTCATTTTCTAAGTTATTGCCTATTGACGCTATTTTAGGATTATTTTAATACAGAAGCTCTAGATCCTACCAGGTTAGTGGCAAAATGTCATAAATATTTCTGGCAACACATTTGGGATAGGATTACCTCCCACAAACAACAAAGTCGCTGAAGCCCCAACACCCTGTTTCCTCCAAGAATCGGAACAGGGTACCTAGATACTTGATGTAGTGCTCAGCACGATTATCATATCATATGGAGTTTCAATCAATCAATTAGGTGGGGTTATATCAAGCAACTTCTACACACTTACTCACTTACTCTTCTCTACAAAAGTAAGTGTCTGTGAGTCAACCTTACACGGCCTATTCTTAATCGTGTGAAGATGACCATTCTTCTACGAGTCAGATCCTCCATGAGCCACCTATTGACTATGCTTTTGATACATGAGAGCTTCTGTGCTGATCCAACCCACCTATTCTTTTAATCATGTTTTTTAATACATTTTTAGCATCACAGGGTCAGATCGCGATGGTTAAATCTGGAGCTGCTTGCCTGGTGCAATTTTAAGTAATTCGCAGCTGCTACATTTTTACTTTTTACATTTAAATTGCTTATATGAGTTTTATTTTATTTGAAAAGGCATAAAAGGACAAGAAATTCTTCCAATTATTATTCACTGAAAAAACATTAATAAATAATTTAAATTTGCGAAAAAGTGGAAAGTTGCTAAACTTAAATAAACAATTTTATTCATGATGTAACAAGGTTATAGGCTTGAAAAAACATAAAAAGTGCAAATTAAGATAAGATGACATTCTTTTTGAATGAAACAATTTGATAATATTCATTTTAGATACATTTTGGGAATTATTGTTTGTGTTATTAGCACTCACTTGAAATATATGTCTGTAGAGTTGAGAGAATTTGCTTTTTATCCTGTTGCTTTCAGAAAGAAGTACTTGTCTCTCATGCAGCAGTCTCTGTTTTCTCTCTTTCATCTGTCTTACCTCATCGGCTAAAGAAAGAATCTGGTCTAATTTACGTTTTCTGCAGTTTTGAGCGGCAACCTTAAAATAATTTTGTCTGTTTAATATTTTTCTAATTTTGGTAAATTGGAAAAAAAGGTTATACTTTGTTCTTTCCTCTCCTCCTGATGTCTCTAATGAGTGAAAGCTGATTTTCTGAAAGATCGTATTTGCTCAATCTTTCGTTAAATTCGTCCATCGGGAGGTTAATGATGTCGTCGACAGCCATTGGAATGTTTAGAGATCTAGCCCTCCTTTCATCCCTGGATAAATGCTGCTCCTCTTCACTTTTCTTGCTCTTTTTATCCCTTGTCAGAGGTCGTTGTTGCATACCACAGCTCTCGGGGAGAATATGGTAGGTGTGATTGTGAGCAGCAATTTGAGCAGGATTTGATCTTAAGCCACCTGTTCAATATTATTTTTATTAAATATGTCCACTTAGGGTTATTTTCATTTTTATTATAAACTTACCATGTGGGACAAGATTTTGTCTTGAGAATTCGACAGAACAAGAGTACTTCAATTCAGGCTGACTAACATTCCTGACGACATCCAATGGGGGTGACTGATATGGAGATACATGCGGTGGTAATACTGCCGGCGCAGTGTTTCCTTCAGATTTTAACGGCAAACAAGCACCGTTGACTGTCGAATTGGGAGTCTGTTCATGGAAAACCCGTTTTCCATACATGTGGTGTTTCTTTTGTGCCACCGGCTGACCTCGGCTGCTCTCTCCAGACAGCTGTCTACTGCACCCATAATCATACCACCTATATTTACTAACAGAAGAACATTAAATACATTTAAAATAAATTTAAACGTGTGCATTGAAATTGGAAAATACCTAAAAGCGGATGAAGAATAATCCGATGGGTAATGATCGGCAGGTGTGTGGCCTGAATCAGAGTTAGTTTCCATCCATTCGGTGTCAGATGTAAGCGATGGAACTCTTTCAGAGCCCATTGAACTAACGGCACTGTCTGAATCTCCTCCTGCTGTATTGCTACCGCCAGTTGCACCTTCCAACATCCGCATTGTGTACAGTCCTTCAAATAAGAAATCCATAATAATTTAAAAAAAAATATATATGTAGGATCAATGTCATTAAGTATAAATCATTAATTCACTACTTTCGTGGTCCACTGGACCAATTAATACATGACAATTAATTAAGGTTTTTAGTTGAGATGAAAAAAAGCTAATGGCACGAGAGGGATTCGAACCTACGACCTTTGGCTAGATATGCCGCTGCTCTACCACCTGAGCTATCGTGACCTCGATCCACTCGGAGAGTGGGGTTGAGATGGGGAGTTGATGTCCGAGTGGATCGAGGTCACGATAGCTCAGGTGGTAGAGCAGCGGCGTATCTAGCCGAAGGTCGTGGGTTCGAATCCCTCTCGTGCCATTAGCTTTTTTTCATCTCAACTAAAAACCTTAATTAATTATTAAGTATAAACTTTTCTTCTGATGCTTTTGTAAGTTTTAACATTTAAGCACAAACGTGAACTGTCTATTTAGAATCCCTTGAGCAATTTTATTTGACACCACAGTAGATCTTCAGTAAAAACATTTTTACAATATGTATTACTGTTTATGACTGAATATTTGTAGTCATTTTCAAATATTCTGCAAACATGGTTTGAATATTTCTATTTGCTATCATTTTCCTATTATTGGAGAAATCATGAAATGAAAATAATAATAGGGGAGAGTTGGTGGCTACGATGGTTAAGGTGCTGATTTGGCAGCTCGGGTAAAGGCCCTGGATTTGTACTGCATACTTATAAACAATTTTTTTTCAAGTGCATTGGCACCCTGGGGTTAATATAACATCTGTTATTGCAAATCCCCAACAGAAAAGAAAAACCAACTAACACTTATTTATCAGTTTTAGTTCCGCTCTGAAATTACTAATTTTTGAACACTAGATGTGAGGTAAAATAGATGTTATCACATGAATGGGGGCGAACCACTGTCTTCGTAACACTACCGATGTTCTAGGGTACGAATCCCATCCATGACCACTTGTTTATCTTAAATCTTGTCAAAAATTAACAATAATAATAAATATATAATAGAAAATCATTGAATAAAAAGAAAGACACTTGCATTAGCACCGCGAATAAAAAAGAAAATTTTTAAACATAAAACTAAATCAAAAGAAATAGATAATTAACGTCTACCACTGCAAAATTATTTACACTGTGACCACACATTATTTTGTTAAAATTATTTGATAATGAAAGTTTTATCTCCAAGTAGTAGACAAGGGTGATGCTAATTGATGGTCAAATTTCTACTATTCAAACTATTAGCTTATCACTGATGAACAGTATGAACAATGAATAAATAATCGTTAAATTTAACTAAGAGCTTTATTTACTTACAACTAGGACCATTGATCTAAACTGACTGAACAGAAAAATACTAAGAATAACCACGATATCAACTGTGGAGCATGATAAGGAATTGTAGGAGAGTGTGCATATAATGTGCTGACACTCACAAAACAGACTCGGCCTGAAATCAGGATAATATTTTTTATTTTATCCTTTTTTTTTATTCATTTGTAATTGAATAGTAAAGTAGAATTGTAGAATCTGTACAACACACTGATGGTAATTTTATTTATTTATTGGAAGTGAAATAAATTATCATGATTATTAAATTTAAAAAAAAAATAAGAATATCATTTATGACTTTAACTTAAAAAAGTCTAATTAAAAAGGCCAAAATTTATTTCATCATCTAAACAGAATCTTTTGATGAAATTGATTTTTTTTAAAACAGCCCCAAAAATGGTATTGAAAGAAATAACCATAAAAGATAAATAATCCACATGTCATCATGTGCTAACCTGATTGATTGGCATTGTAAAGGTTAAACCAGCCACACCACGGTATGAAGAATCGTGGTGTGCAAGGTGCAACTAAAATGTCCATTACGTTTTGAACACAAACACTAGCTTGACTTATCGCACAATGACTCAGCCGGGTAGTTTAATTAATCGAATGTTTGTCATGAATTCCTCCCCGTCCCACTATCTCTTTCTACTTTATCCCCACTTTCCTCGGAAACAATGTCACACTTATCAAAACATAAAGGAACAGAAATCATATATACAATATATAAAAAAAAACTAATGAATTTGTAAAAATGGATTTTATAATCATCTAAATTAGTTTCAAGGATTATAAGATTAACCGACTACTGTCAAACTGATACCGATTTTTTTAAAAGATACTAAGAAACTCAATGACACAAAATACAGCACATAAAAGCACATTGTTATTAATAATTGTTATGGTTGATACACCCTAAAACTTGCTTTGTCATTTGGTTTTCACTTCCTTTTGATTTATAATTCAAAAAGAACAATTGACCTATTAATATACCAATGAGGTGCCTACATTAAGATCTATACAAGTGATTAAATTTGGCGCTCTTTGGAAATTTCCTTAAACTATATATAATTGACATTAAATGAATCTAATTTAAAAATTTGCATGAAAAAAGTAAAGAAATGTCAGAAAAGTCATGAAATAGAAGAATGTATAATTTACCTTCATTCATTGCCATATCCATAAGTTGCAAATCCTCATCGTTCAATATCGATGACAGGAATCCTTCTGTACTGTTGTGGTTCATCTCGGTTGTTCCGTTTTGCTGAAACAAAGAGCAACATTTGATATTTGCTTAATTTTAACATTAAAAACTTAGATAAGTAAAGATCTATATATTTCTTTCATGCTCTTGTCAATTAAAAAACCATGTGCAGTACCAGCATGGCAAATACGAGTCGGATGCCTTCATCATTCAGCCACCGTTGCCTCATTTAAAAATTTAATTATTCCTTATAATTACAAAATCTGGGAAGAACTTTAATTTTGATTATTAAAAAATGGGGCAAGTGTATTCAATTTAGTTGTGTTTTAGTTGACAGTGAAATTGTAACTCTAAAACTTATTATTTCAATCACTGGTTTTTTTAAAGAATATTTACAATTTTTAAAATCTAAATAGTTATCTTCAAAATCATTACGCATTGAGTTGTTTAAAAAGTTAATCTCCAAATAAACAATTTTCTTAATTGTGCTTATCTTGATTTGTAGATTGCACAGTTATATAAAATGACCTCATCATCTTCAAACAATTCAAGCTTTGACTTTTAATTTATATATGAATAAAATGCAAAAAATTTTAGCCTCTATTTGTCTGACAAGTGGAATTAGGAGATTACATCATGAATCATTTCCCTTATTTGTGACTTTTACTGTCAGCCTTTTCTTATATAAACAATATTTAAACAATAATCACTACAATATTTATATTAAGGGTATTTATTTGAAAATAATTTACAAAAAAATATTGTAAAGTTCTGACCACTCATTCATAGATACCCAAATTGGTAGAGTCAAAGGTTAAGTCTTTCGATATGACAGGAATTTCTGTACCTTACTTTATATTACTGGGATATCGAATAAATGTTATTCTGTCTCACCTGATAGTACATCATGTCGTTGTTGTTTTCCATTTTGAATGTCACTCCAGCCGCTTCATTGACCATTGGCTCACTTGAATTGGTCATTAGGTTCATCGAAGATGCAACAGCCGAACCCACATTATTATTAGTACCTAAAATTAAATGTTGATTATCAATTTAACATGTAACAAAGACTACAAATTGACACAAGTACCTAGAGAGGACGAATAATGCGGCTGAGATTCAGGCCCTGTTGGGTTTGGTGGGTGAGCCATGGTCTTGGTGTCAGACCCGTGGTGGTAAGGGCTCATAGGATGATGGTGATTGTGATGGTGGTGGTGGAGGTTGTGCGGATAGTGCTGGGACTCTGGCAGGCTCAAGAGTGACGCCAAGTCTTGCCAGCGCTGCTCCATGCTAACTGTTCTCGAGTACCCCACCCGACCCTGCAAAAAAAAAAAAAAAAATAAATAAATAAAATCACTTTTCTCTTAACTTGTATGATTTAAAATTATGTTAAACTTTTTTTAAATAATTGTAATAAGTGTATTTAAAACCAACGTAGTTTCAATTAGAAAACATTTTAGGCGTAATAAATGTGTAAAAGACACTTCCTAAGTAGGCAGTGATGATATACCAAAAACAGAAAAAAAAATAATGTAATAAAACCGTCAAAATTTAGAAATCATGAAGGAACATTCACTTTTTGTAAAAGATGGTTCTACTCACAAATTTATAAATTTACATAAAGTGAATCTACATAATCACCTCTTCCTAATTTCTATGAAGAAACATTTTTTTAAACATTATATACCAGTGATCTTTTCAGCTTAGACATGATCAATATTGATCAATGTCAATATCATATCAACAATTTACAATATTATACCAACAGATTTTCTTAAGTTAATGGTTTTGTTTCTATCACTCTATCATATTTTCCACCTGTAGGAATTAAATAAGTTTTAATAATTAAAAAACCTGGGCAATTATTTTTATTTATTTATGTTTTTTAAATTTGTAGTATATTACAACAACCCGAGTGGATCGAGGTCACGATAGCTCAATTGGTAGAGCCGCGGCGAATCAAGCCGAAGATCATGGGTTCGAATCCTGCTCGTGCCATTTACTTTTTTATCTCAACTAAAAACCTTAATTAATTGTAATAATTAATTGGTCAAGCGGACCACGAAATTAGTGAATTACAACAACTGTTGATCAGTAACATGTAACAAATGATATAAGAAAATACAAAATTAAAGACAAGAGTGGAGAAAATGGTAGTACTTCAATGATGCTAGTATGTTGACTGTTTAATTAATGCTTATGCCAATGTCGCTTTAACTACCACTTTTTAAGAGATACCACAGCCATTGTCTCTTCAGTCGGTGAGGAGGGTTTGAGGAATTTTGTTGTGATATATAAGTCTGTATGTGTAATTTTGCCTGATGCATAAAATGGAGCATCAAGGATTTAGATTCAACTCCTTCAACCTGATGATGAGCTAAAAGCTCGAAATCCGGATCGTTGGAAAACAACTTACTGTGAGTAGGAACTATCTTTTTTAAAAGGATTGAACACCGCACTCACTCCACCATTCATCATTTCTATCAAGGATTTTTCGTAAGACTAAAGATTGGGTAGTTTGGATGCTGAGGATGTTGGAATGTTTGACTCAAAACCCACAGTTCCAGTCTGTTAAATATGGTGTTCCAAAGAAGCCTTCCACTTTTGAGAGGTAATTGGTCTTATTAACCAAAGTAATTATTTTAATTGATTTATAATGTTTTGCAAAGCATGGTTGAGTGGATTAGTGCTAGGAGCAGCCATAAAGGCACTAAATGTGTATACTTTCAACTCTCAAATTTGTGTGGGAGTGCCTAAAAAGTCAAATGACGCTGGGAAAACAAAACAAGATTACCTTAAAGTGGGTTCCTGGATATGAAGGAATAGAAGTAAATGAACAGCCTGAGCAACTAAATAGAAAAGGGGCAACCTTCTCACTCATGGGACCAGAACCACAACTAAGTACTCCAGAGTGTGTGCTTATGATGGAGCTGGAAGAATGATCTGAGAAAGAAAAACTCTAACATTGGGCAAACACTCCAGGTATGAGGCAAGCTAAGATATTTATAAATATCATAAAATGAAAAGCGAAAGAACTATCTTTCAGCAGGCAGGATTTGAGGAGAATTATAGGCCTCTATACCAACCTACACTCTTAACTATCACCTTAAGGATAGGGCAAGGCTGAAATGGAAACTTACCAGCTCTGCCATGAGGAACCAGAGACATCAGCACATATCCTTCAAATATAAACAGTTAGCCACTTCATTAGGACATTTCTCATACCCAAGGAGATCCATGAAGAAGTACCAAGGAAAGTGCTCAGTTTTATGTGGTGCTTAGTGATGGTGATTGTGATTGTGATGAGGATACTAATAAGAGGGTTTTTGCTCACCAGGCACTGCAGCCTTCTGGCTTATTGTACTTTCCTATAGTTTCCTAGTTCAGTGCAATAGGCTCAATCCTTCTCCTCAAGGGTCACCTGGTGCTAAGTGCTCCAAGGTATATAGATATCAGCTATATGAGTTCCATAATAAACCCGTTTAGGTGGCAGTCAAGGAAAGAATAGTATTCTGCCCATTGTATTATCAACCCCCAAAAACCTTTACAAAAGACTCGAATTTAAAAAATAATAAATCAATTATTATTACTATTATGAGTAGATACTTAACATAAAAATAATCTTAATAATAATAAGATTATTAGTGTAAAATCAATATGTTTCTTTCTACCCAAGCTGATTATAGTAACCAGTAAAGTTTTGTATTAGAATAATTTAATTTCAGAACAACATGGAAGGAAGCACGAGAGCCATCCACACTGTTTTATTTAAAAGTTAATAAATAATTTCTTTTCCTTTTTACATTTCTTCACATCAAAGTGAGAATGGCGAAACGCGCTAGATGAACAAGGATGATCAAACTGTGTTGAAGAAGTAAAAAAAGAATTGTTCAAGAAATTCAGAAGCACACGCATCAGTTCGTCGTTGATGAGGTTTAGTATTTTTTTGTAAATTTCCCAGTTTTTCAAATGCCTTGAAGAAAATCCGTGACCGACGAGGCGGCGGATTCAGATCTACTTGTACACTTAATTTGAAAGCGTGAACTAAAACAACATAACGGCATCGTTGACAATTTAATAAAGAAATAATTTTTTACTTTTCTATTATAACATAATAAATACCGACGAATTAATATGAAACAGGATTTAGAAGAGGGGAACAAGAGGAACCGTCGATTCAATAGATCGAGAGGTTGTTCACCGAGTCGTTTTATGTAGGTTTTAGCACAATAAAAATCTCGTTTGACGAGCATAAATCACTTGTACAGAAGTAGTCTCGAAAATGTTCCGGTTAATGTACAAATGTTATATCATCAGGAGCGACTAATGTTTCTTGAGCCTATTGTGTACTGCAGTCGGTTCTCATCTCTTCCTTGCTGACCTTTCTATGAGGAACACGATCGCTCGTTTACCGAATCAATGATCAAATAAAAATTAAGGACATTATTTCAATGAAAAGTTAGAAAGTTAACAAGAACAATCGATGGAATGTCCGATTAAGGTAGTTGCCGTATTAAAAATTGATGTTGCCAGTTGCGGTTGTTGGAAGTCGTAAAAAGCCCGTTCTTCAGTTGATGGACTGCGAGAATTGACGGGACAGAGAGTAAATCAATCTTAACACTAAAATATTGTTTTTGAGTCCAAACAATATTATTTTGCAATATGGACGATGGTAAGAAAATGATCGGATTGAGTATAAATAGTATTAAAAATATAAAAATAGGATCGATAATTAAACCTGATTGGTTCATAAAATTGAACCTAGAAGAAGAGGAATAGGCCTATCAGGCGAAACTAAAATTGGTACCATATGTTAAATTGGCGATTTTTATTTTTAAGTCCCCCTCGCCGAAAAAATTACGGAATCACCAGCGACGGATAGAACCGATTTGCCTGGATTTGATTCGAAATTTTTTATACACTTTTTTATTAGATCAAGGCATATTTTGTATAAAACATTTACCGTGCTTCCGGAGTCCAGAAGAGCTGGAATGCAATGTTGTCCCACCGTGACTTTTAGAAAAGGAAGATAAGGCATCAAAGGTGTAGAAATTTGCAAATTTGGGGAAGGGGTTCATTTAGTTTTTTGAATTTTCGGCGGTTTTATTTGATCTTTAATCTTTTTTATATACAATATAAAAATAAATCAATTATTATTTGTAAAATGAAATATTTTTTAATTTTAACTTCGTAAGTTATTTTCCATAATAAATAATCTAGGAGGAAATTCCCAATTGTGAGACAGGGCAAGATCCGCTCTTTGAAATTTTAAATAATCATAAATCCCAATAATTTATATTAAAAAAAAAATAAATATTGAAATTCAAAAGATCGAGTGTTTCGACATCGAGTCACCTGCGGTTTTCAAGACGATTAAGGCCGAGAAACGCCTGGAGACAGGATGGAGAAAGAAGAGAGAGAAGAAATATTTTATTGGAGTGCAAACGAATAATTGGGATCCATAAGGCGAGCTAGGGTCAAGTCATTAGGAGGGAGGGTTGCTAATGACAGGCCGTCTTCGCCGCCAGCCAGCACAGGGAAATATTCCGTATTACACACTGAAGAATAGAAAATTAAAATAAAACATATTTAAATAATTATGTTTAATCGATATAAACAGCATTTGTAATGCTTAAACTTATGTTTGGGCCAGGATAAAAATTTCTCGTGTACAAAATGTACCTTTGTGCGATTACAGGAACAATTCTAGTTACTCAGAATTTTTCAATTAATTAAGGTTTTTAGTTGAGATAAAAAAGTCAATGTCAAGAGCGGGATTCGAACCCACGACCTTCGGCTAGATACGCCGCTACTCTACCACTTGAGCTATCGTGACTTCGATCCACTCGAGATAAATGGCAAAAAGGAGGGAAAATTCAAAAGGTGGGGTTGAGATGGGAAGTTAGTGCCCGAGTGAATCGAAGTAACGATACCACTTGAGAGCCGAAGGTCGTGGGTTCGAATCCCGCTCGTGACACTGACTTTTATCTCAACTAAAAACCTTAATTAATTGAAAGATATTAATTGGTCAAGCGGACCACGAAAACTAGTGAATTTAAGAAGTTACTCAGAATATTCATTCGTTTTTAAATGATAGTGACCCGTACACTCAAAAGACAAAAAAAGTTAACATGTCAACCCTGAGTGTTACTCATCTTTCTACACCTTTCAAATTAAATACAGATAAAGAAAATCAGTTCAATTCATACTTTCCGGAGCAAACTTGTCGAATGAGTAGTTGGTTTTTAAATTGTTTTCCTTGATGAAAAAAATAAATTTGCGTGATAATTTTTTTTAAATCTTTTAATTTGAGGGTCTG